ATTGCATTGATTGTCGATGGGTTTTGTTGCGCCAATCAAAGTATTTTTATAAACCTTGATTGTATATTTCATTCCAGTCCATTCTTCTCGAAACATGTAATGGAAATCTGTCTTTCCTCCCCCACGTGGCCACGACGAGTATTTTCGCTTGGGAAAATTATATGCAATCATTAACAATTGAGTCTGAATAAAATTTGTTCTTGTTGTTGTTTATTTTTTTTGGATGGATGTTGATTACCCCCATGAAGGCAACTGCCTTCCAGCAAGCGTGCTTGCCTTTCTAAGCCCGGGGTTACAACTCGTTACTGTCCCTTGTTTCTTATATAAAGTGAGCCTGATTCCAGGCTCGTTTTATTTCAACATTTTCCACAGTAGCAGAGACGTAAGTAGCAATAAAGTAATCACATTTCACATTCAAACAGATCAGACTATTCTCTATAACGATTGAGTGGATTTTTCATACTGTAGCACAGTTCGACAGTTGATTCAGATTTAGTCTAGTTTTAAAAGCTACTATTTCATGAGTCACATAGAATACAGTCACTTACGATCGCAGATGACATTTTCTATTCTGAATGTTAAAACAATCATTTAAACGACATGTGTGAAATTTTTTAAAAAATGCGAAAATGCGGTCTCAGCGATTCTAAAACGTTATAATTATGCCTTCACTGCTTTCGCTCAGACATGAAATGGATAAGAATCGGAGCAAGTGTCGACCCAGGGGAGAAACTACCGCATGAAAGAACGGGGATGGTCTTCGGAAAATTAGAATTAAATTCTCTTTAATAAAGAAGATCAATCTGGGTGTGGCTTATGCTTTATTTCACCCCTAAAGTAAAAGAAAAGTATTTCCCCCTTTTAAATATAGATGTTTCCTGATGAAGTTCGGCGAAGAAATGAGATCTGTGATCAACATCTCACGAGCACAGGACAAAGAAAAAATCTGAATCCCCGACATTAATTGAACCTATATGACCTACCGTACACCGGTCTGATGCACTAAGCACTGAGCTACGTTGGACTTGTGGCGAGCTGGGCCATATACAAGGCTTAGGGACTGGTCAAAAAGTATGGGGGGGGGGGGG